AAGAGGAATAATTCAGACCTCCTGATACGGTTTGCTTGTTGTGGCGGATGTCGTGGATGGTGGCGGAGATTTTCCAGTAGAGCGGCCGACCGACAAAGAACAGTATTAGAACCACGGCGGCCGCCAGCAGGAGGCGGAATGTGAGTCTTGCGGCAGGAGACGCCATTGTTGTCAACTATTTCGCTGTCACTGGGCGCGATTGTATGCGATTGTGTGCGCGTAAAATTTGAGGAGATTTGTTAGTGCAAAGGAAAAGGCGAAGAAAAAGGGAGAGAAAAATAATGTGTGGATTTTCAAAGGCGTGCCCAGGCCTTGGGATTTGAACTTGGCTTTACGACTGATCAGCAAGATAGCTAGAGCTAGTGAGCTTTCGGGGAATGACTTATTTGATCTATTTAGAGCACATTTGGTTGGGAAGATTAGATAGGATAAGCCCATTTATCTTGGTTTATCATAAGTTTGTTAACCATGATACTGGCCCGCAAATTTATTTCCAGCCCGCGATAAAATTGGCCTAATCTTGAATATTCATGACTAAACTATCATGGGGGAGGGGGTGTGATAAATTTTGTCAAGGTTGATTTTTAGAGCAAATTACATAAATGTCCAAGTCAAAGTTTTTTAATTTTTTAAAAAATGAGCAATAATAATGACGTTCGGCTTGTCGCAGGCTCGCAGCCATCCCACATTTGTCAAACCCCTGCCCATCGCTGCAGTCGCCCGACTCCCCGTCCACCAATCGCCGAGTCAGTGGCCGTCGCTGTCCAAACCTCACCGTCGTTCTTCCCCACCCCCGCCACGCAACTGCCTTTTTTTCCACTTTTTTTATGTATTCTAAACAAAATAAACCACAAGTAGATCTTATATCTCTGTTGCAAAATCCAGATCCCAAATTTGTTTCTGTACCAAAATTTAAGAATAGAAAACCTCAAATTCATATTTGAACCAAAATTTTAGAGAATAAAACCCTATTTTAAGAAAAGGTAAATCATATTTGTACCAATACATCCATCACAATTGCGTTGACTACGGTTCGCCGCCGATAAATTGTTGTTGGTAGGAGAAGGAATAAAAAAACGATGAAATTAGAAAGAGCAAAAACGAGAAAGAAGAAGAAAGACCAGGGGTGGGGAGAAGAAAACGGTGGGAAGGAGAGGAAAAAGTAAAAAAAAAAAAAATGTTGCTTGACTTAATTTGATTTGCTTTGAGGGTATTTTGGAAATTTTGCAAATTTTAGTACTAATCTCAATAAACATTATCACAATTCTCAAACAAGGGTTTAAATCAATATGTACAGTACAATCTCACCTCTCAGGATAGATTTTATCTTATCCTGTCTCTACAAGCAAACGAGCTCTTAGTTTCTTTCTCGTCCTTCTTCATCGTCATTTGCTCAAACGAAGCACGTCTTTCCTTATTTCCCCTAATCTCTCTAGGCACATTTGTTGGCCAAAATTAGGGCCCGTCCGATTCTGCCAAGCCCACAACAAAATCTTCAGAAATCTTGATTTAAGCCCACTACTTACGGCCCGTTCCGGCTAGTAGCCCGTCCGATTCCCCGAAGCACGTTTGTGCTCGAGTTGCGACCTAAGATCACATTTTGACCTTGGTTGCGTGACTTTTACATTTTTTTTTTTGTTTTCTTTTTAAATTTTTTTATTTTTGCTTCTTAGCTGGTGATCATGTCTTGATAAGGATGGTCTATATATATCTGAGGAGCGGATGCAAGTATTAGTTGGGGGAGGCCATTGTCTCCCCAACATTTTATTTTCCTATTAAGTATATATAAAATTATATTTTTATAATCATCCTCAATTTAAATATATAAGGTGAGGCTTTAATAATTAAGTGTCTTACCTAAAATTAAAGAATTCGAGTAAGTGTATTAGTAGAAGAACTTGCACAACTCTATCCTAACTCAATTGTACCTCATGTACTAATTACTAGGACGTAATCCGTGCGATTCACGGGATGTAAATTTTGGAAGAATAATATAACCTCACGTGCATTAGGATCGAAATTGAAATCATTAAAATACATAGGAACATTGTTGAATCATAAAAAGTTCGGTAACAATCATATATTATTAAAAACCTCCTTGTACACAACATTATGAGTTTTATTATTTGGTAACTCCTCATTATCACAAACTAATATTTTCAAAAGAGACAAATCCTAAAAATCAAACTAATATTTTTGGTGAACAAACTAATATTTTAGGATTGGTGAACAAACTAATATTTTAGGATTTCTAGGATTTGTCTCTTTTTGGTGAACAAACTAATATTTTAGGATTGGTTATATGAATAAGGCTACCTGTTTTTGGTGATCTTTTCATTCATTTTCATTCAAACAATCCGATGACTTGTATAATGAAATCCGAATCTTATGCCGAAATATTTAAAAAAAAAGTTTTTAAAAATTGAAATGTCAAGGCAATCAGTTCAGATTAATTAAATGTCAAAGAATATCCGCTCCTTGAAATAAAGACGTGTGCCATCATTAACCAAATATCCGGTTATTGATATAGAGTGGTTACCAAAAAATAGAACGCGATAAGGACGCTTCATGAAAACATCAATGGGATAAGGTCATAACAGATTGCTATACATTTTAACGATAAAAGCTCAGATGGAATGATTTATGATAATTATATTGTAATTAATGAATTAATTAGATGTGTGAAAATGACATAATTAATGAGAATTGTGAAAAATAATAATTAATGAGAGTGTGAAAAAGACATAATTAATGAGAAGTGTGAAAAGGACATAATTAATGAGAAGTGTGAAAAGGACAAAAACTTACCAGCTTTAGAAAATACTTAATGCAAATCCGACATTGACCATAATTTGACCTACTATTTTGGATAAATGTTAATTCTTATTATATAAGTATAGATTATAAATAATAATTAGATCTTGTAAGCCTTTTATAAATACGTTTGTATATAACTTAATACGCTACGAGAAGTAAATTTAATATACAGAGAATTTAAGATATGCAATTTAATGTAGTAGAAATATATGATATATGTTTATCGAAAATTCGAACATGAAAATTTTTTTTTATTATTTTTTTTTTGTATTTTTATTCTGTACAAAAAGTTAGAATCAACTATTAATAGTTCCATAATTTAAGAAAATTAAACAACTCTAATTGTTAGCAAAGTTTGGAAGTACACATTTTTTCTATTATATTGAACGTGTGATGTTTTTGAAAATTATATTGTTCACAGTCTCCTCCACTAAAATTTTCTGGATCCACCCCTGGTCTCTCTACAATTATATCCTTGCAAAGTGGGGGTAACATTTTGCCATATAAACTCCCACATTGGACGAGCTTCCTCACCGGTTAGCTCGCCCAGCAACCGACGCAGTCAGACCGCCTGGCACGCCGCTGTGGCTGCCGCCACGTACTTCGCCGAGCTGTAATAGTTGCCGGTCTCCCCGGATCACTAAAACGGTGGAGTACCGCACCTTCTCCCCCTTTTTCGAACTATGGGATGCCGAAGGGCCTGTCCCCGAGTTCCGAACTGATCCCTTGACAACCTGCAGCACTTGGCGAAGATAACTCAACCCGGGCTGTGCGCCGCGCCTACCGGGCGCTGGCACTGACTGGGGTTAGCCTCTGCAGGCACTAGGGCCTGGCACTACCGTACTATATGTGCGGCCAGTGACGGAGGTCCGGCAAGGAATCAACATTAGTGTAAGACGTAAGTACATTTATGTGGGTGCTTGTTAGAGTACACACTTTGCACACGACTCACACACACACACACAGAACCATCGTTGCCTGCCCCGTTCCACCGCCATCTACGCCGTTAGTCCGCCGCCGCCTCCAGTCCGCGCATACTTATTTTACAAATATTATACTAAGCCCGAACCAAAGTTGTTTTGAAAATTATTTCTCATAAATGAAAAATCAGTATGACATTTTTATTTGACAAACGCAGCAGAGCATAAACACTACATTACTTGCTTATCCATATAATAGTAATACCATAATTCACAGTTAGTGTACATTGGGACACTACGAAGCTTGTACGTTCATATCATACATTAGAACCAGAAATCAGTAGATAACCCGCCTTCTTCTTCGAGTTCGCCTAACGGGCAACGTATTTTCACCTTTGCCAGGAAATTCCCAACGTGAAATCATTCCATCCCATGAGGAGCTCACAATCATCGGGAAGTGAGGGTGCCAATTGCAGTCACGTACAACATCCTCATGGTAATCGAGTTTTGCCACTTGATCACCACTTAACTACACAGGCCAAATCAAGTTCCAATTCCAATTTCAACACGATTACAGGAAGAAAAAAGATAAAACAAAAAATGGAGAAAAAAAAAATTATGAAGAAAGAACATAAAGTTAAGTGCATACCACGTCGTAAACATAAACGGAGGAATCAGCTGACCCTGTGTAAATATACTTCTGCCCAGTACTGTAAAAGTCAACAAAACCGGAATGCAAGTCAAAATCATTAAAATGCCTCCATGCAAAACACACACGTATAAAATTTCCAATCTGATAATCATTAATAATCATATACAGTTTCTTCAAAATAAATAAAAAAAAAAAAAATCACAAGGTACACTTTTATTCACACAATTTGAACTCATGATTATGAGAAAGATTTTTCAACTATAAAGACATTGCATAACAAACGGTGCACAAATTTATAGCAAGAAAATTATGTAGTAAGCATATTCACCTATAGGCTGGCGAGAAATAACAGCGTACGAGAGTGCGCAATACAGAATGGCCTCTATATGTAGCCAGTGACAGGTCAGCATGATGTCTCAAATTTTTCGCCTGTTGTGGATATTCCATCCATCGGTAGTCCCATTCTTCATAGCGGCGTCTTGGGGTGCTGAATCAAGATAACCCAAAAAAAAAAAATCGTATTAATGCATTAATTAGTTGAAGAATCACCAGTGTTTAATATTTTTAATCACGAGGACCACTTGGTCACAAATTATTTACAAAATAATGTGCACCATTTTAAACAAATCCCAGCTTCTGATCCCCAGCTAATTTATTATGCTTATACTAGGATAAACCACTTGAAAAGGCATATTATATACCGAAAGCAGCAAAAGAGAAACTGAACATGGACCGTACTAATTGACATTAGATGACATTTTCCTTATATCCCAAAGTTTGAGGGCTTGATCTTTTCCATTTGAGATGAGATAACGGCCATCTCCACGCGAATTAATGAATGTAATGCCTTCTAAATGTCCTATTAGAACACCAGCGGCTTGCCCCCTCGATGCAAAGCATCGTCTATCCCAAACCTGAAACAAATCAACAAATAAAATTACTTGCAGCTTAATTAATTTAGGGATATATAGTAAGCTGTGGGTTTATATCTGCATTTCCGAGGACTTTTAACTCGTTATGCTCTACAACTTGGTTTAATCGAATAAAATGATACAAGATACTTAACTGCCCATCATCTTTAAACTGCAATCAATGCCTGCTCTAACGATGTTTTTACATAATTTATTACAATTTACAATATGATAAAACATCCATGGTAAAAATTACTTGATTTAGGAAAAATGCTCTTAAAGGATAACTAGTTTTAAGGCTTTCGATCAAAAGGTTGTTCTCTTCACGTCAATATCTCAATCATAAGGTGCGGAATTCTTTCATTTTACATTCAAATATATAAATATAAATACTGCTCAATACGCTGCTCCGATATAATGTGTGTAGAGTGTCGACATTCATCCAATCCAAACTTTGATTAATGAAACTTGGTATATTTTGTGGTTGCCCAGTCAATTGACAAAATAGAATAGAAACAAACAGTCAAAACTTCAAAATTTTAATCTATTATCCTGGCAAATAGACATTACTTTGCAGAGGTGATCGTCACTGCCAGAATATATGATGTGGCCACTCTCATCAGCAAAGCAAACAGCATTGACATCAGACTGCAATAAATAAAACCAAATGAAATTTCAAGTAGTCTGGAGTTACATGATTAGTTATCTAAATATATTTGGTTTAAGTAGACATAAAGTTCATTAAAATTAAAAGTACAATACCAGATGAGCTGGGATTCTGAGACTTAGCCTTTTTGATTCAAGATCATAAACATATATCGATTCATCACTGCAAGCCGCTACAAGCTCTCGCCCATCCGTGGAGAATTTAACGGAAAAAATGCCAAAAGAATAATCATCATAATCATCAACTTCAGATGAGAACTCCAGGCCTTCATGAATTTCCTGATTGAAGTAAATGATACATTTGATAATAAACAAGGACTAGAGAAACAGAGAAACCTATAGCCATCCAAACAAACCCAGGGCTAGACAGAATTAATAGTTTTCATACATAAAACTTCCCAAATTTTCTGGACAGTTTTATTCAAACACTGGAATATGCAAACTGACTGAAAACATGACAAAGATAATAGAAAACCTGACAATGTATACCATCATCAAGATTAATTTTTTTCAAATGGCCTTATAAAATGGCTTTACAATTCATGCACCCCAAAGAATCCAAACCCCAAACCCTCTGCCTCCTAATAGAGTCTCCAATACCACTTTAGGTAAGTCTTTGTGGTATAAGACAACCGCAATAATTCCCATTCAATCCAAGAAAAAAATGGAATTCTTTGAATCAATAACCATGGGCTATTACCATATTGGAATCAAAGCTAGAACAAAGCACATACTATAAGGCACGACTTATAATTCTATCAATCTAATAAGCAGAACCTTACCGTCACATTTGCATGAGACTCCTTTGTAGCTGATCCAATATCAACGATATGGACGACAGGTGTTATACTGGAATAAACCTGTCAAATTGCTATTTTAAAAAAATAAAATAAATAACATACAAATTCCAATTGGAAGCAAGTGTGACCCATTTCTTATCCAAATAGATAAGAGAACCCAATTCGAGACATGTGACAAGCTTACAAGAAAACGGCGATCAGGCGAAATAGATGTATCAGTAATAGTCCACCTCAAGCTCTTTGCAAGAATGTCTTTACGCACTTTCCATCCCATATCGACATCATATATTCTAATATGGCTTTCCTGTATAGGAAGATAGACGACGCAAAACTAAATCAACAAATTCAACAACTAATGAATACAAGTCCGGAAAAGAACAACTAGAATATACCTGAAACCCGGCAACAAACAGAGACCCATCATCCGAAAACTGAGATACATATGCACAGCTATTCATCCTATCAACCTCTGAAGGACCGTGAATGGGCAGATAACGGCTCAAAACGTGACAAGAGTCCGATGACGAAAATCTCCCTCTCCCACTGAAGTTACATTCCCTGCCCGCCAGCATCTTCACGGGCGAAATGGGTAATTTGGCTCTGCCGGGCAGCACATTGCTCAAGCGTTCATGTGGGGCCGACTTAACCTTTGTAAGCTGTGCGAATTCGTTATCAGTACAGCCCTGCAATTGAATTCCACGCGATCCTCCTGGCTCATTTTCTCTATCTCTGGAATAGTTTCTGGGCCGACTCATTGTCCCCAATCTCAATATTTCTAGTTAACTTATTCTTCTTTCAAAAATTTGTGCTCAGGGATAAAGCTAGAAGACTGAATGATTATATATAGATTCGCTTTAGACTGCACTCTTCAGAATCTAAAGATCTTCAAACGCCTTCACACAAATTAGCAACCAGAAGATAAAGGAAAAACGAATGAATGATAACAAAAATTGAGGAATTAAATCAGGAGATTCAGATAAAGATTATTTGCGGCTATATTATACCTATTCTGCTATACAGAGATCAGAGACTTGTAATTATTAAGAAAAATCGGAGAGTGAACACAAGAAGTTTTTTGTTCACTTTGGAAGATATCTATGTAGACCTGAAAAGGCAGTAGCACACGTCACCCGTGACGCAGGGGATTCAAAAAAACAAAAAGAAAAAAACGGCATATATACAAAACAATTCCTCAATTGTTATTCACCGCCATTTTACTAGTTATCGTCCCCCATTTATTCTTTTACCCTTAACCATTTTTCAGACTCTGTCTCTCTAAACTTTCTATCTCTCTAAATTCCCGAACATTCAACGAGCGATTCGAGCATCGAAAAAAATTCAAAAAAATATCGAAAAAATCCTACGGCATCGACAGCGTTCTTCTCTAGCATGGTAATTTTTTTTTTCTTTATGCATGAATAATTTTTAATTTTTTTTATTTTCTTATCCGCGTCCGGCCGTCACTTCCGGACGCGGCGGCGGCGTCTGGCCGTCGGTTCCGGACGGCGCAAATTGCGTCCGGACCGGCCGGCCGGTCGGCCTTTAAGCCGACCGAGATCGGCGGCCGGACGCTGTAGAAAGCGGGCGGAATACGGGGNAATATTAATAATTATAAATTATAAATGCTAATAATAATAATTATTATAAGAAATAATAATAATTTTTAATAATGATTATAATGAAAATTAATTATAATAATAATTAAAAATTAATTAATTATAATTATATTAATAATTTGTAATAATAATTATAATTAATTATAATAATTATTATAAATCTCAACAATAATAATAATAATTAAAATTATAATAATAAAATTTATATATTAAAATTAAAATGAATTATAATCTATTTTAATAGTTATTAGAATAGTCATTGCATATGAAAAAATTTAATAATTATATTTCTGATTCAGGGTGTTAGCAGACCTGGACAATCTAATGCAGGGACGACGACGAGGCGTTCGATGACTATTATGATGGTTCTGGCACCCGACACACTAGAAGTCACTCGTTGAGGTACAACCACTTGATGTAGTAGTAGATGAAATTTTCAACACTAGAAATGTGGTTAATAATGAAATGGTTAAAAAAATGTTCAAAATTTTGAAATAGCATGTGAAACAATGGATTTTATTGAAGGAAAGCATGCCATGCAAACTGTTATGAGTCATTCTAGTGGTGAAAATATATTGATTGAACCCGAGCAAGCAATCCAGGATAAAGACGAACTGAAGAAGTTCTTAAGCTTGTATGCCATTGAACATCACTTCCAATATATGGTAGAGAAATCTTGTCAAAGATAGTATTACATACGGTACATTGACAAGAACTGTCCATGAAGATTGAAGGCTTGAAGAATCGGATGCGCTCCAACTTTCAAAATCAGGAAAGTACATGATGAGCATATATAGATGCGCTCCAACTAATAGACATTTTGTGTGTCATCATAATCCTAAAAGATTGAAAAGATTCATAGATATATATTGTACCTTGTATAAAGACAAATTGATTTTTTATTTTTCAAATTACATTCCATTGCATGACAAAATCTATCATGGTACAAATCAAATTCTTGCTTGTAAATCATCGAAAATATAAAATGAATAAGTTGACGACTACATTTTAATTACTACCTAATTTTAATCTATAATATTGATCGAAATATGGTAACAAATACTATATTTCGTGACCAAATAAGTTAACTTATAGTTTATTTGATTAGAGTATAAATTTCTTGTATTTAAATAAGCTTCGTTTAGTAAGACGAATTTTTTTAAAAAACTAGAGCTTATCTCATAAGTTTCTTTTGGTAGTTTTTTGAGTTTTTTATTATTATTATTATTATCCCAGCTAATTTTATCAACTGATTTTACCAAATACATTTATCATATAACTTAATTTTTTAGCTATAATTCATAAGTTATAAGGGCATCCACTTCCATTAATTTTTTTCCCATTCATTCAATCAAAAAGTTACACTCTCTCATCCACATCATCTCCACATCATCTTTTCACTAATTATCTCTCCATTTAAACACACACTCACATCCCTACACATCCCCTCTCTATATAATTTCAGAATGCGTTGGGCCTACGTGGCAAACTCTCATGCTTCGAATCCTATTTGGCAAAAAACTATGCTTTGGAGTTAAGCTTGGATATAATTAATATTTTTTATCACACTAAATCCATGATTGATTTTTTCTTTTTTTACTTCTACAATTAGTTACCATAAACTATTTTATGTTTCATTTCCCTACATTACAATACATCACATTTCATTTTCTTATATAATTCCTTCCTTAGTTTTTATAAATGTTTCTTCTTCTTATTTTTAAGATTTTATAACATTTTTGTTTGTATTTTATTTTTCATATATGTATATCAAATTAACTATCTTTTAACGATTTTAGATTTGACATCCATATTATATATATATAATACAAAACAGTAATATATATCCTTATAAATTAAATTTAAATTTATTTATCAAAAACTAAATTAAATTATATCAAATAAAACTATAAATTATATTATAAAGTAACAAAAATTGGTATGTATTTTTTTAAAAATGATATTTATTTCAAATCTAATTGGTATGTTGTTAATCTAATAAAAATAAATAATTATTTATCTAAATTCTAAAATTGCATATAAAGTTAAAAAACTGTGAAGCACGGCTGATACGACATTTGATGTATTAGGCATTTAATTAAGTAAAAATATTAATCTATTTTGCTTAATATTAAATAAACATATTCTACACTTATGCATATACACATCACCATATTATTTCTATTTATTTAAGATATATATTTTTGTACTTATGTAATGGTAAATAATATCGATATTTTTATATGATATAAGTAAAAACAATTCAACACAGGTTGACATTTTCATTTAATGTACGAGTGTTTAATTATTATGATTAAAAAAATATAATTTGACCATTTAATTAAAAAAAAAGTAATGTTTTATATAAAATTAAATTACTTTAGTTTTTAAAAGAAATAAAAAATTTAATAATTTTTTCAAAAGCTTTCTAATTCAACACCCGTGTAATACACGGGTGTTGTACTAGTTCATTTAAATACAAATATGAGACCCATTATATCAATTCATTCAATATAAATTTCAATATTCTATTCTCAATAAAAATAAAAATTTAATATTTTAAAATTATAATAATAAATTTTAAATGCATAAAAATAAAAGAACACTACAAGACCAAAATAACTTAAATTAAGATTACACAAAAAAAAAAAGTACAATTACAAAAAATAATTTTTTTTTAGTGGCTAAAATGAGTCCAAATATGCTCAACTAAATCGGCACGAAGTTGATGATGCACTGTGTTATCTTGTATCTCTGAACTTCTACGGATATAATTTTGAAATTCTCGATTTGAACACTGGACAGGTTGTGCGGGCTCTTCATCCTCGTCATTGTGCCAATGTGTTACTACAACTCCTTCATTTTCAACAATCATATTGTGTAGAATAATGCATGTCAACATAACAAATTTCAGTTTTCTTCTATACCAAAATCGAGTAGGACCTCTTACAATTGCCCATCAAGACTGAAGCACCCCAAATGCTCTTTCCACATCCTTTCGAGCAGCTTCATGTTTTTGTTTAAATAACTTTCTTTTAGGATCTGACGGGCAAGGAAAAGGCTTTACGAACGTAGCCCATTCTGGATATATTCTATCTGTAAGATAATACCCATTTGGTGCATTTCCTTGCAACACATTATTAAATAGAGGAGATTCATAAAATACATTGATATCGTTACGTGATCCTGCAACACCAAAAAAGGGTATGCCATATCCACAAATCGTGTGAAGCAACCGCTTCGAGGGCAATCATAAGAGACCCATGCCCTCTTGTGAATTGGCCTTTCCAAGCAACTGAACAATTTTTTCATTCTCAATGCATACAATCAAGGCTTCCAAGCATACCCGGAAAACCATGATTTTCTTCATGCATTTGGAGGAGTCTTTGAACATCGCTACTGTTCGTTCTTCTCAAATATTCATCACCAAAAATTTCAACCACATTTTCGCAAAATTTAAAAAGACATTTGATAGCAGTTGATTCACCCATACGTAAATACTCATCAAGGTGGTCAGCTGGGACTCCATAAGACAACTGACGAATGGATGTTGTGCGTTTTTGAAGTAGTAACAAACTTTGTCTTCCTGCTGCATCAATGTTTTGCTGGAAAAATGATGATCGTGTCTGAAGTGCATTCACAATTCGAAGGAATTCTCTTCGCATACGGAAACGCCTACGAAATATATGATCTGGGTAGACTGGATGGTCAGATAAATAATCACTTACAAGTCTGTTATGCCCATCTTCTCGATTTCTCTGTATGAACCTTATTCTTCTACGAACTTCAATTTCATGTTCGTATGCTTGAAGTAACTCGTGGCTTTGTTGAACGATTTATGAAATCATTTCAACTTCTAAATCGTTAGTGTCATCACCATCTTCACTCGATGGATGATGATGAATTACACTCGAATCTATATGAATTTTGAGACATTTTTTTTGGGATTCTAGTTGAATTTAAAGTGTGTGTAAATTGTTAGGAAATAGGAACGGACAAGATGGAATAACAACAACACACCAATGTGAAAACAATAAAAGACTCACTCTCTAAACTCGACTCTTCTTTTTCTTTCACTTGGAATGAGATACAAAATGAGGTATTTATAGCCAAACAAATGCTTCTTGCAAGGAAGTTGCGAGGAAGCTCCCTTCATTTGATCAGGAACTTACGAGGAAGCTCTCTTCCTTTGACTAGGAACTTACGAGGAAGTTCCTTTTCTTTGAACAAGAAGTTGTAAAGAAGCTCCCTTCCTTTGACCAGGAAACTGTGAGGAAACTTTCTTCTTTCGACTAGGAAATATGTGAGTTTGCTTTGAATAACAAGAACAACTTAAATGAAATACAAGCTTAACGGTCAATTTTGCAAATCACAACGTACAAAATTACAAGGATAATTAAAATAGATAATGCAAAGTCTACAAGTTCCATTTCTCTCGAATTACTTGGCACATTTTCTCATGAGAAATACGTTGCTCTTGGGTCATGTGGCTTGTGTCCCTCATTAAAATAGCATAGACTTTTCGACGATTCATATGCTTCTTTTCCTCAAGAGTTGCTTTTTTAACTTCAACTTCAGCTTTTTTCAAGTTTGTTAACTCAGCGAGATGCTTAACCATGTTGCTGTATTCTGCGGTCACCTCATAAAGGTTAGATTTTCCTTTGCCCTTGGCCTTTCATTTGGCTGCCTTCTGTCCGATTGGTTGAGCCACTTCATGAAGTTCATCTAGATCAATGCTCGCATCTCCCTTTGATGAAGTGTTGCTGGCACCAGACTCATCAATCCTCGTTTTTTTTTTTCTCTCAACAAAAATATCATTAGAAGATTGTGGAGTGAACATAGAATGATCTTTTAGGATTCTCCACACATGCTCAAGATTGAAGGCTACACCATTACTCTCACTACGATATTTTTCGTAAGCCCAACTTAATATATCCTCATCACTACAACCACTTCGATATACACAGTAAATACTGTTATAGCACTCATTGAACTGATACACCTTTTTTTGAATTGTATTATGCCAGTGAGAGCTTATTATATTAAAATCTCTATAAATATAATCAGAAGGTGTATTTTCATTATAATACTTTGCAACACGTATCCAAAACGCTTTGGCCTTATGATCATTACCGGTAATTAGATCGTCACTTATTGTCACATAAGCCTTTGCCAATAGCACGTCCTCTTCCGTTGTCCAATCTGGACGTTTTTTCCAGCCCTCAGTAGCAACACGTGTGTTTCTTGGCATATCAACATTTATGGCTGCTTCATGATCCTGCAATTGTGTTTCCGGAACGTAAGTTTGAGTATTGAGTTCTTTCCTCATTTGAGATCCGGAAGATTGACTCGATTGTTGCAGAAAAGATTGCACCAGATTTTGACTACTTATGTACTGCCAATATTCAGGCGGTGGGTTTTGAAATAAAGCTTGTGGAGGATATTGTGAATATTGAATGTTGCCTGACATTGGATAATTTTTGTGATTGTTGCATAAAAGGAAAATTTGATGGGAATTGTGGAAAAAATTGTGCAGGATAAGTAGCTTGTAAAAATTCATCAGGATTGGTAGGATTAGAACTTGAGAAATTTTGAAAGTTTTTTTTATTATTGGGANAAAAGGCTCAAAGTTGTTAGCGGTAACAATGGTCTTACACATTAATGGATGGTTGCTTTGTTGAACGGGGAACACTGTATTTAAATGGAGCAATTAAACGGACGAATGCAGATGCTCTAAGTCATAAGCTCGAAAAACACTTATAAGCAATAAGCTAAATTATCAGTTAATTGTACCAAATATAACTACAAACATTTGTTGCTCTCCCATTTTTATTACCAAATCAGGTCATCCGTTGATCTCCCAAAACTATTTCCAAAACAAGTCGTGGCGTAGGAATTTTGCCTAAGGCAACCATGTGATCTTCACTATATTTCTTAAAGTAGCAAATTGATTGTGTCGAGGCATACATATTTGTTCGTCTTGGAAAACTACAAATACATATCCTTTCTTTGGCCTGCTTCTCGAATTTGGCATTCATTCTCATGAGTTGATAAAAGCCTGGATTTCTTCAAGTGTTTTTCCTTTTGTCTCCGGCACAATCTTTGCCACGAAGACTACCGTAAGCGCACAGAATGCAGCATACGTCATAAACGTGCCTGAAATTTTTCAAATTAAATAAAAACAATTATGAACCCTGAATTATACAATTTGAAAAAAAAAAAAAGAATTGTGAATTATTTGTAGCGGTGGGAAATCGTAAATTTAATTTACCAGTAATAGTTAATTATCATCGTAGTAAATTGTGTGTCATATTCTAATTATATAGTTACATGTTCATTAAATTCTTAATAAAAATTTTAATCCTTTTCTTTTTTTTACTAGAAATATTTGTTTTCTTCGCCAAAAAAAATAAAATAAAAATTAATATTCGGAGAATTATCATATTTAATTGGATTTTTATTAATTACCAGTGGAACTCCAGGTCATGAGAAAGTTGAAAGTGTAGGATATTATCCAGGCGCCTAACCAGTTGATCAAAACCACCAAACTCCCGGCAACACCTTTTACATGAATTGGGAATATCTGAAAGTTCAAATATAAATGTTATAAACAATTCAACTCACAATACAACTTAATTTGAAATGGATTAATTAACCAATTAACTTTAGCAAGATGCACATCTTATCGACAGTTTTTTAAACTATTAATTCCGAAATTTCATTATAAATAGATATCTTCATGTTTCAACAATTCAGCTGTATTGACGGTCCTCCTACTCTATTCAGCTGTTGGCTGGTTCAATTTAGCTGGTAGCTGTGTTTTTGTAAGTTTGTGTTATTTATATATAAAAATTCTATCGTTTTGAAAAAAAAAAATAAAAAAAATAAAAAATTGATGGGAAATAAAAATTACCTCTGACATCATGACCCAGGGAACTGCGCCCATTCCTATTGAAAATGCTGTTATATAAACCTGATCACATTTGTTTAACAGAAAAGTTAAGTACGTGATTTCAATTCTCTTGATCTACATATTTTTAATTTTTTTTNCAACATATAGATTTCAAATATTATAACTAATTAAGTTACTACTATAATTAATGACAAAAACTGAGTGTACCAGTATTCCAGAAACAGCAAGAATGGGAACAAAGTCAACCAGTAGACCTTCACCCTGAAGATATGGACATATATATATCATTACTGTTTAATTAACTAGCATTCTTAAGATTGAAATTTAAAAATTAAAAATAAAAAATGGTTTCAGAAAATCACCTTGAGGAAAAAAGAAGAGCCTGTCAGGAAGCATCCAATAAACGTCCCAGTTGCCGATATCTGAAAATATAAATAAATTCAATTCGTGTTTTGACATATATTAAAAAATTTATAAATATAAATTAAAAAATGTACAATTTATATATTATATTATACATTTAACTATATATGCGGGCCAGGTCTTTTTGGTACTTGGACCTGGCCCATCTATTAAACGGAGTGGACCTGATCTGCCTCTTTGGACCAAAATTGGACAGTCTTTTGGACTTACCATTAGAAGTGGTCTTCTTCCTGATTTATCCATCAACACTGCCCCAACCACTGTTACTGGCACCTACAATAAATATTATATAATTATATATTATGGTGATTGCTTAAATATATTTAGAAAAAATAATTTTTTAACAGTCTGGAGCATTATATAAATATATATGAAATATGTTTTGGAGCCAACCTGAATGATGGCATATAAAATTGTTCCCATTTTTCCTGAAGAAAATCCTGTTGCATATGTTTATGTTTTCTAGATTAGAATAAATAAAACGAATACAAAGTAGTGCGTATTTAAAAAATGTATGAAAACTGGTATAAAATCCGACGAATTCCAAGTGATCAATCCTTTTACCAGCGGCTACAAATGTTTGACTGGTGTAAAATCCGACTCCATTTATCCCTCCAAATTGTTGGAAAAACATTAACCCAACACCAACCTGAACAACACAAATCCCATTAAGATTTAATTTCATGATATTTATATTATAATTGTCACACAATAATTCCACATGAAACTTTGATTTACATTGAAATTCATAATCGAATTACTATACTTACTATGAGAGGACGAATATACTTGGCATCAAATAGTTCAAACATGTTGACTTTAGGAAGATCTCTCAGAGTATCAAAACTTGCCTGTCACAAAAAATATTCAAATTTAATCACAATTTCTGAATTTCAAGGGAATAAATCATCGAAAACAAAAATGAATTTTACGAATTATAATTACTAATTCTAAAACAAGAAAGTCCAGAAAGGCATATATATGTACTTGAATTTCTGCAGCTTCTTTAGAAACATTAGCATTTTTGCCTCGGAGTTTGCGTAATGCTAGTTCGAATTCTTTCTGACGACCAATTTTCGCCTGAGAAAAACGTAATTAATTTGTTGTCAACATTTATCTAATATGCTAATGAATTATTCATATTTCCTTCTAATATATAAATATAATATAGAATAATGATTGAAGCTAACCAGCCATCTGGGAGACTCTGGAATGAAAAATAGGCCCACAAGAAGTAAAAGACAAGGGAGTAGTCCTACACATTCCAATATAAAAAGACAAAAACAGCAATTATTACCAGAATGTCACTATAAATAATTAAATATATACATATATATGTGATTATTATTTTGTTGCACACTTTTTTTGGTCATTATATTTTATTTTATTTTATTGTTTATGCTTAATATTTTACAGACAATACCAATCTGGAAATTACCTGTTAGTGCTAAAATTCTCCATGTTAACACTGTTCCTAAGATATACGCTGTAGATGATCCGATCACAATCATAAGCTGTACAAAGGTCCAGAAAAAAACAAAAATATGTATTAATTAAAACATATTTATTTAATTTATCATTTAATTATGGGAGAAGAAATTGCAAAAAATGCTTAATTAGCCGTCCTTTTAACCTGATTTAGTGTTGCTAGTCCTCCACGAAGATTTTTAGGTGCAATTTCAGAAATAAATACTGGGACCTGTTGCAGCATTTTAAATCATACAGAAGTGTTTTCAATTTATGGAACAATCAAATTATGGCAATTTTTGAATAAAAGAAGAAATATTTACCACATAAGAGAATATTCCAATTCCATACCCTGTGCAGAACCTCCCTATATCAAGTAAGTACGACTCCTATATTCATTCCATCAGTAAAAGGACCAAATTAGTAATAATTAATAACAGTATAATAAGATGTGCGAGCAGATTTAAATATATATCCATTAAATAAATGTGCTTATTATAATTTTTTCGTAATTTGAAGGAAAATAGTTTTCTTGGTGTCACCATAATCAAAAGTACCATAGAAAGACAGACTGCAAGCCATCCTGTGATGCAAAAAACAGCTGACATTCTCATTGCCTGTACCAAACATAAATTATTAATATAACTATCAATATTTTTTATTAATATTTTGTTAAAAATGAGGGGA